GTATTATATATTATTTTATAAACCACCAGCTAGCGATAAATTCTTTTTGCGTTCTTTAAACTTTTCAATAAATATTATCCTGATTCTAATCTCCAAACTTTGTCTGTAATTTTTTTTTTGTAATACTACCCTTCGCCACTGGGGGCAGCAGCGGACTACAACACAAGAGTAAAGACTTCTACTTCCGGTTCACCCGAGTCAACAAAACAACCGCGATGGCGACTGAGGCGGACAACAATTTAGAAACAGGCAAGCTGGAGTTGTATCCTTTAGTGTCTCACAGAGACATTACCCTGGAAGGTACAACAGGGTCGTTGGGTTTTTATTGTCTTAGAAATGAGCAACTTTTAACTTCGCAGGAAGCTGTTAAATCTGATTCAGATCGTTGTGAAGCTGCTGCAGTCTGCTGAGGTGTGGTATGGTGATGGGTTTCTTTTAGTTCTGGTCTTAGTGATAGTTTAAAGTAGTTTAGGTAATAATTTTGTGCTGGAAGAATTAGTTTAGAAAGAAAAAATCTTTACTCAGGTTTGCAGGTATAAATGTTTGAAACTGGTCTGTTGTGACACCTTAAAGCAGTTTTGTGCAGAGTTATGATATGCCAACTGTTCATTCCTCATTATGACCAAGTTATTATAAAGCTCAGAATGCTCATACGTATGTTGTTATGTATAGACACTGTAAATAGAGATTTAGCGAGTTAAAGTTCATATAAAAGTGGATTTCAAGTTTTTTTTTCTGATTCAGCTGAGTAGATTAATGGGGTTGGGGGCAAAAGTTTTTGTTTTGCAGTTCAGTTTTCCTTCACCGTCCTTCAGCTCTCTGGACGTCCCCTTCCCGTCGTCCTCGGAGGCCGTCATCGCCCTGCGGTCCCTGTCGCCCGACCGAGAGCCACGGAGAGGCGGCATCAGCAGACATCTGAGTGTGTCCGGCAGCACGCTGTCTGTGTAAGCAACCTCCCACTCTCCTTTCAGTCACGAGTCGGTCTGAAGTGTGTGGTCGTCTCACCGAACCTGTCTCTGTGCTTCAGGAGGTGGAGCGCAGATGAGGCTCGGATCCTCAGAGTGTCTGTCAGCTCTTTTCTGGATCATCTGTCGCTCGTTATAGAGACCATGGAAATGTTTGGCCCTCCTGTTGCCCCATGACGCTGCGCACAGGTTTTTGGACTCTGGTTTTAGATCCTGTCAGTCAGCGTACTCTTCTGGAAAGCTACTTTGGTGCAGCATTTTGCCAAAATACAAGTGAGCACAAGTGTTTGTGTTAAGAAACTGGAAGATAAACCCCTTAAAAAATGATGGTTAGAGTGGATCTACACTTCTTTTTATGAAAAAATCCACTACAAAGATGCATCATCATGTTTTGTTGTTTTTAATGAATATTTATGTTTGATAGGATTGTTTTTCCATCATTTTTTAAAATCCAACAATACACGAATGTTGAATTGAAAGTTGTGCCTGCTGAAAACTGGATGTTTCCAATTTTACTGTAAAGTTCAGCAGGTTGGGCTAGCTAATATTAGTTTATAAATATTCCTCTCATGAATATTTTATCATTTGACTTTTTATAAAATAAAAAGCAAGAAAATTGTTCAAATCTTTGTGTCAAGTCTTTAAAAAAGTTAAAAAAAAGAACTTTGTTGAAGCAAATGTAAAAGCTACCACTTTCTAAGCAAAGTTTAGTGTTGGTTGGAGCAGATGGGCAATTTGGGTTGTGTGAAGTAGAACCGTAAAAAAAAAAAAAAATCAAATGGTTTGATCATAATCTAAAAAAATGCTTTATAATCTAATTAATAATCAACAATTTCTCAAGTGTTGTCCAAAAATATTGATTTAAACTTTTATTAAAAAATGATTTTCTTCCTTTCCCGTAAGTTTGTTACCATACAGGAATTTTGTTGCTGTAATGTAGTAACAGGCCAGCAGAGGGCGCTGCTGGCCTGAAAACGCTTTTTCTTCAGAGCAACACAGAAACCTAACAAAGTGTTGTGTGTCTCTGAAAAAAAAAAATCAGATTATAATGAAATTAGCTTTATGTTGCTGCTGCCACAAACTATACGAAATAATCTGAAGATGAAAAAGAGACAAGTCCTGTGTAAGAGCCACCAAACGGTGATAATGAAATTCAAAATGATGTTTTCTGAAACATACAACTTATTTTTCTGTTGCAGTAGTATTTGTATTGCTTTGGCATGGTAGCAGTAGTTTATGTTTGTAAAGTCTGCTAACAACTTGTTTATATTTGTCAACTGCTGCTGAAAGTCAAAAAGTGGGCAATAATGTTTTGCCCGCATCTGCGTGTGACTTGCAGCAAAATATCTTTAAAAAAAGGCAAAGAAGCAACTTCTGGATGAATGAAACGTGCAGAAAATAATCACTGGACGTACACCAACCAATTCACACGGAGTTAACCTGATTCAAGATGGCTGCCACGGCCAACGGGCCTTAAAAAGTAAAAAAGGGTCATTGCTCAGTCAATATTACAAGTGTTGACCAACAGTTTGGTGTGGTAGTAGCTGAGAGTACCCAACACATATTCTAAGCAGAAACAGTTTATGTATCTGTACCTATAACTAGAACTTTGTATAATACAGCTTTCTGACAAAAAATCCCAGTTTACTGAGTGAAATCTCTGTTTGAAAGGCAGATTAGGAAAACAAAGCAAAGGTTTATTTGGCAGTACACAAAGCAGTTGCAAAATTTATTTATTTTCATCAAAAACATTAAAATGACATTTTTAGAGTTTGTTTTTCAACAAGTGAGTCATCACTGCCATTTAATCAAAACACTTATTTAAATGAAAGGGCCTGTAAAAGCTGAAGGGGGAGACCGAAGCTTGGCCGTATCATCATCAGCGTGACGAGAGAGACAAGGTTGTGTTTAAAACTGTGAAAGTAGGATTGGTGGTGCAGCTGGAGGTTTGACAGGTTCAGGAATGTTTCATGGATGGGATGTAACATGTTCAACATCTGCAGATAAAGTAAAAAAATACAACTTTGTGCTGCTCAAATATTGTGTGATTTGATTGCACAGATTTGTTGTCATGTTTTGGTCTTGCATGCTGTTGATCCTGTAGTGTCATAGGCGGGGTATAGTTTGATAAGACTCTAGGGACTTCTTAGCTTTCATGCACAGATGCTTAATAAAATCTGTTTTATGGTGTGTGTGTTTTTAATGTTGTACAAATATTATCATCAGATGATTGTAAGAATCTAGAGAAACATCTGAGCTCAAAGGACAAAAGGCCTGGAAGTCATTATTCGATGTCAGTTATCTGTGGCGACACTGCATTAAACATGTTTGATTCTGTCGGGGACGTCCCTGCATGAGCTCAGGAACACTTCCATGATGAGTTCCACCTGAATGAGCTGAGGCAAAATGAAAAACTGTGGTCATCCATCCATCCATCCATCCATTTTCTGTACACGCTTATTCCTTTCAGGGTGGCGTGGGTCACTGGTGCCCATTTCCAGCACTCACAGTGCGAGGGGCGGGGTACACCCTGGACAGGTCGCAAGTCCATCACAGCTGTGGTCAGACAAATCAAAATTTATAACTAGAATAGTTCCTGGAGAAACTATGAAAAATCCCTGTCATCTACCACCATCCCACAATTTTGGCTGAATATGTCTAAAAATAGCCAAGATAAGGTCAATTTTTGCGAAGCAATGGATTCCTCTACTCTCTTATTTATTTGATATGTCTGTGCGTCCGTCTGTTTTCTTCCACTTATCTGGGGTCAGGTCTCGGGGGCAGCAGTCTAAGCAGAGAGACCCAGACTTCCCTCTCTCCAGCTACTTGGGGCCAGCTCATCTGGGGGAATCCCAAGGTGTGTGCAGGCCAGTCGAGAAACATAGTCCCTCCAGCGTGTCCTGGGTCTTCCTCTGGGCCTCCTCCCAGTGGGACGTGCCCGGAACACCTCACCAGGGAGGCGTCCAGGAGGAATCCTAACCAGTTGCCCGAGCCACCTCAACTGGCTCTTCTCGACGTGGAGGAGCAGCGGCTCTACTCTGAGTCCCTCCTGGAGGACTGAGCTTCTCACCCTATCTCTAAGGGAGAGCCCAGACACCCTGCGGAGGAAACCCATTTCAGCCGCTTGTGTCCGCAATCTTCTTTCGGTCACTACCCAAAGCTCGTAACCATAGATGAGAGTAGGAACGTAGACCAACGATAAATCGAGAGCTTTGCGTTTTGGCTCAGCTCTCACTTCACCACGACAGACCGGTACAGCGCCAGCATCACTGCAGACGCAGCACCAATCCATCCGTTGATCTTGCACTCCATTCTTCCCTCATTCGTGAACAAGACCCCGAGATACTCAAACTCTCCTCCACTTGGGGGAGTATCTCTTCCCCCACCAAGAGAAGGCACCCTACCCTTTTCTGGTTCAAGACCATATGGTCTCGGATTTGGAAGCACTGATCCTCATCCCTCATGCCATCATTTGATATGGCAAGTCCTAATTATTTTTGGAAACCACATCTTTTGTACTATAGAGGGACCACCTGGCTTGTAATCAGTGCACAGTTCAAAAACCTGCCTCTCTGATGGTATGGGGGTGCATTAGTACCAATGACATGGGAAGCTTACAGATCCCACTAGTTGAAACCATTTGGTGCACCATGAAATGAAATATTCGGCAAAGAAAGCCCAGAACTTTTCTGGATGTTGAGAATGGGACAATATTCCTCTCTAAAACCTCCAGCAGATGGTCTCCTCAGTTCATTAAACCGAAAAATCTTGTATGCTCTGTTTTTATCTACACTTTAGACAATAATGTCCCAACATTATTTTTGGAAGTGGGGTTGTATATACTAATATACTCACATGGTTTTCTCTCATTGTGAAACTCTTCACACAGCTTACATATGAGCTGTATACCGCAGATGCTAATCACTCTTCCCTCCTCTCCTTTTCTCAAGGATCACTGGGGTCTTTGTTGGCCACACCAGCTGAACTGAGAGTTTCTGACCTCTTTTGTGTTTGTACTGCAGTAGCAGACTGAAGCATGTGCTCTTGAATCAACAGGCCTGCCTACAGCTGCCAACATCTGGCGTTTGAGTAAAATGAAGCATATAATTGGCATTCAGTTCTACTTTAAATGAATATAATTGTAACTCTGATGGAACCACAGCACCTGAGTGATTCTTTTCAACACAAGTGTTTTAGTCTGAGGCACACGAGTGGCCACAACTTTGTTTTTCTGAGCATGAACTCTGATTTAGAAACCGAAAGATTTATCATGGATGCTCTGAGACTGACAGTGATTTACTTTTATATACAGGTTGCACAAGCTGAAAACAAAACTACGGCACAGAGTTTAGTTCTGAAAGCTCAGACTGTGACACACAGCTGTAGAAACAGTTTTTTTTATAAACATCATTAGGTGCTGGTGTTCAAAATGCTCTTTAAAAATGTCCATTGTGGTTTGCTATTTATTAATGCTCAGTCCTCGTAAGGTCCTGTCGATTTTCTTTCAGGTTGAGCTCTGGATTTTGGGCCATTTCAACCTTTTTTTTAATTTTTTTGTTGCCATTCTGTTGCAGATCTAATGTTTTGGGTCATTGTTCTGTTGCATTTCTTCAGCTAGCAGATGTCTCACATTTGACTCTGGAATACTTTGGTCTACAGAAGAGTTCATGGCTTAATGACTGCAAGGTGCCCAGGTTGTGCAGCTACACAACACGCCCAAATCATCACTCCTCCATCATCGGGCTATATGTTGAGTCATGGTGTTGAAGTTCTGTTTGGTTTTCAACAGGGATTCATGCAAGAACATTTTTGGATTCTTATCCTAAATTTCTCAAACTATGTTTTGCACAAACATACGAACATGCCACGTCAGATTCAGCAAACACTTTTAACTTTTAACACTTTTAATCGTTCATACAAACTCTGTTTGTATGAACGGTTCTTACGAGGCCCATTGCTCCAAAAGTTTTGTGGTTCATTCATATGCAACTTGGCGAACCCACAGTAAGTATTGTTCTTGAAAACACTTTCTCATGCAACCCCTCCAATCAAACCTTACTTGTTTATAATTTGTATAATTGTACTGTCATGCACTTTAATATTTAACCTGCTAACTGAGGCCAGTAAAGACTATGGAACTTAATGTCTAAGATCCCAAATACACCAGTGCTAAATTGCACGTGCAAACAAAAATATTGCATGCGAGTGGCGTGTTGCAGGTGATCTAGGATTGCTGAGCAGATAACATGTGCAAAAGTGGTGCGGACCGCCCTGTTGAAATAAGGATTTTGCATGTGAGAGAGCAGTGATTGTAAAAGAAAAAAATAACTTTGAAGCCATGGAGCTGGAGGTCTTGGTGGAGGAGGCAAATGATCCAGATGCAAGAATGCAGTGTTACAAGGAGTTTTTCCACAGGAGATATGGTATGATTTCTGTTTGAGGCACCAAACTTTGATCCCACAGCAGTTCAAAAAAGGCATTGTTGGATAGACGATATTTCTCTATTTTTATTTCTTACACATGAACAAAACATTCTCCCTCCATCGTTTGTCATTGCACCTTTGCCTCCTTCTGGCCACAATGAGCCCAGCCAGTTTGCACCTGCCTTGCGCAAATGCTAAATACAGTATAAATACAAAAAAGGCAACCACAATCAGTTTCAGGTTTGATAAATCACACTGTGGGTGCTCTCCTCCTCCCAGTATTTTGCACATTCTGATAATCATATATTCATGTTCATGAAGTCAAACACGCTAAATGGATTGTGTCTGCAATTTTACTCATTTGACAAATGCAATCCTCAGTGCACATGGTCAGAAGATGAGCTTTGCACATGCTATTACGTTTGCACGTTTTTTATACATGCAAACCTTTAGTAGATCAGGCCCTGAGAGGTTTGCAGTTTTTCTGAGAGTTGCACAATCTGACTTTGGGGTGACCTTAATGGGTGTTTTTACTCCTGGCACAACTGATAAACGTCTGTCTTAAACGGTTTCTGCTTGTGAACAATCTTCAGCTCTGTAAATGATAAACTCCAAAATGTTTTGAAACGACCTTTAACCCTTTCCAGATTGATGGGCTGCAACAGTTGCTTTACCGATGTCATTGCTAATATCTTTCCTGTACAAACTGACAAAACCCCTGTTTTTATAGAGGTCATTTAAATAATTACTGATGATAAGTCTGTTCCATCAGCAGTACAAGGCTGCTACTTTCCCTCTGCAGAAATAGCACAGAGTTTAGTTTTTAACACAGACTTTCCATTTTCGCTTAAATTAATAATGGCATGGTGAAAAAAAACGTGTGTTTTCATACACTAGAGCTTAGATTTTGTTAATTTCAGAACTGGGTAAAAATCAGATGATTTTTATTGTGTTCATGTGAAAAACCCTAGAAGTTAAAGAGGATGGATGTTTTCCCTCCATGACTGCACATATTGAAGTTGCACATGTATTATATCTTGGGCAGGTGAAAGACAAACCTAAAAGTTTTGCAAAATGAAATGATTAGATTTATTTATAACAATCTAATTAAAAAAACAATTAATGGGAATTTATAAATTGTTTTTTTTTCTGATTTTATCTACTTTTATGAATACAACATATTACTGGTCTATTTAACATCAAGCAAGCAGCTTGATGAGATACAGGCTCATAGAAAAGTGTTTCTGTGTTCAGACTGCTACACTACAGATTCAGCAGCTTACATAAACAACACTTTATGAAACAGGCTACAGCACTGAGTCCGTTTCTCGTTGACAGTCGTTTTCCAACCATCTCCTGACCAAAACTTCTTCAGCTCAGATAAACGGTCTCTTCTTCCTCGTTTGTGTTCAGAAGTCATCATCATCACATATGTCCAGATACACATCAAACGCTTCTCTGTTGCAGTTTCCATCCGGTGTGAAGACGTACTTATGGAAGGTCCCGTCCACACAGATGGCTGCAGGAGAAGGGACAGAAAACAATAAGAAGTGTTTCCAGACAAAAACCACCTAATTAAAGTATTTGTTCACAAGTTTGAATTTAACTTAATTGTGACTGTTTTATTTTCATCCACTTCCTGATCTTAAACTATTTGAATAAATGGTTTACATAAGATGACACATTATCTCTACTTACAATCACTGTAGAAACTTTCCTTAAACCTGCAGAGTGCTGAACAGGACTGAAGACACTTAAAGCTTCATGTGGATCTGTTATTGCCAGGTGAAACTAAAAAAAAATCTAACAAACTATGAAGCAAAGCTCTTCAACTCTGACTTGTTCATCCATAAGACTTTTTCTCTTTTCACTGAAGGCTGCTCTTTAGTAGTCTTTAATCTATTCTTCCTGTTTGATGCATTAGTTTCTCTCCAACTTAACAAAAAAAATTGAGCAACAGTGAGCTTGTGTTTGTTCTCTGCTGCTTTTACATCATGTCTCTATCAAAGCTCAGTTTTAATTTTAATATGTTGTAATTTTATCTCATTTGGATGATGCAACAATGGCTTTCTCTCACACGAGTCAAAAGGCTTTGGTCCTTGTATTAGTTAGAAGAAAGCAGCTGGTTTGGTCCCGGTGACTGTAAAACATACTTTTAGCAATGTTTTCCTGTTTTAGTGTTTGTTGATAATGATGTTGTCCAGTGAACTGAAGTGAATGATGTCAAATTTGCTACAGCAAACATTTCTGTCTGTCAGTCCATCTATAGATAGCTCTGGAAAAAATTAAAAGACCACTGCACAGTTTCCCTGTATTTAGTGGAAACATTCCACCAAATATTAATTTCTGAACTCTTCCTGAGTTAAAACATTACGATTGTTGTTTCTAGATGAATATGAACTTGTTTTCTGTGCATTATTTGAGTTGTGAAAGCGCTGCATCTTTGTCATCATTTTGACCATTTCTCATTTTCTGCGCATAAATACTAAATTTGTGCTTGAAATTTCAGAGACATGCTGTCAGTAGTTCATAGAATAATAATAATAAAAAAACAATGTACATTTTACTCAAACATATACCTATAAAGAGTAAAATCATAGAAAGTGATATTTTTTAAAGTGGTCTCTTAATTTTTTACAAGCGCTGTATCTATGTCTCCAGTCCATGACAGAGACATCCAGTCAGTCAAATATTCACATATAACAATTTATTATTATTATTAATAATACAATTAAAGGTGAGCTGCATAAAGTTATGTTTGTATCAAACAAATATCGACTTGTGTTACTGCTGAAGTAGCTCTCGGTCTCAAAAAGGCTGGTGACCCCTATCATAGTTGCTGTATTATGAAGTATTGTATGTTAAGTACTGTCAACAATGTCTTACAATGAAACATATTTAAATTACACCGCATTTACAAATCTCCTGTCAACTTTTAATAGTTTTTGATAAAAACATGTTAGGCAGCCAAAGCGGCCCTACCACCGGGTTTACCCAGTTTTCTGGGGGGAACTCTGGTCCAGTTTCCGTCACCGTCACAATGCAGTCAGAAGCTGGTAGAAACTCTGACAAAAGAGGTGTGGCAGACTCAGATCCACAACAACATCAGAAGAGAAGTTTCTGAGAGTCCACAGCGTGTGTGATCAGTGGCTCACAGTGGTCCTAGGAGGTCAGGCTGTTTCAACTATGAAGAGAAGACTTGGAGCTGCAAGTTGACAGGTCGAGTCGCAGCAAGAAAGCCATCTGTAAGAGCTCAGAATAAGAAAAAGAGGCTTGTTGCCTGCGAGAAGGTGTTGGTGTTGACTGATGAATATAAATGAAATCTGCAGCTCATCATACAGGACTTCTGTACTGTTTCTCAGTGTTCAACAACTGTTAAACATAAAAGTAGAAGTATGATGATCTGGGGCTGTCTGGCTGGATCCAGGGTTGAGTGACACTCCTTCCTGTCAGAGTTCCCACCAGTTTCTGAGTGCATTGTGACGGTGAAGGAAACTGAACTCACAAACACCTGGACTTTAAGTTTTGGGTAACCTTCATTGGACTTGAACTGCTTGAACAGCAAATTAAAAAACTGGAAAAATGAGGGAGTTCTAAAATTTTTGACCATAGTTTAGAAAATGTTTCTTTACCGATGACCGAGTTGACATTCTTGGATGTGTTCTTTCCAAAAGCACAGATGCAGGCGCACTCAGCAGGCACCGTGAAGCTGGCCAGTGACCACTGGCTGTCCACATATTGACCAATCACAGGGCCCACCTTCCCAACACGTGCCAGGCTGTGGGACAAGGAGAAACAAAGATGTGTTTGGTTTATTTGAGCAGTGGGAGGCCTAAGAAAGCTTGAGATCAACAGGGTGTCTTACGCTGAGCGGCGGTTAAGTTTGGTGTCTTTAAGAGCAAAGATGTGGACGGTGCCTTTGTCGCTGGAGGCACACAGGAAAGACGAGTCGTGGCTGAAATTGATGCTGAAAAGATGAACACAGAACATGAAACTGGCTAGTTGTTTGCTCACTTGTGTTGCAGCTGTCACTCGGTGAACAGTGAGTACCAGTAGAGGGTGGCGGGGTCGGTTCCTCTGCGCAGCTCCACTAGTTTGTCTCTGGTGGTGGTGTCAAACAGCCGAATGAGGGTCCCTTTGCGGGAGGCTGAAGCTGCGACGCTGCCCGGCTGGTTCAACGCAACGCAGGCGATCTCACTCTGATGGGCGTTGATGGTGAACGGGGCAGACGATGTACCGGGCTTGGTGTTGGTCAGGTCCTGACAGAGATGGGTTCTGTTACTACATGGACATTTGAATGAGAGGAGCAATTGTTTTTAAAGGGATCCACGATTAGTTGTAACATTAGACTATATTTGATAAACATATATTTTAACTGTAAAATAAAGACTGTAAAAATACTGTAGGCTGTTTAGTTTTGTAAATTTAAAAAATATATATTTTAACATGGACGGAGCCATTTTATTTACACACAAAGCATTCTGGGTAAATGATAACATGGATAGGTCCTCGGTGTGAGCGAGCTATATCCACCCTGAAGGTTAATCTTGGACAATATCTGATGATCGACTCTTTTAAATGAAACCAGAGAGCGTTGACAGAGAGGAGAAGGTAGAAATGACTCAGCCTGTAATTGAAAATATGGATGGAGGACAACAGAGCTGCTTCATGGAAGAACCTCAGCTTAGCCCGTTAGCCTTTGCGCTAGCACCGACGCCTTGTTGCCTTATATGTTTTAGCTCGGCACTAGAGCGACAAACAAGCTAAAGTGAGGTCCTCCATCCATATTTTCAGTTACAGGCTGAGTCATTTTTGTGTTCCCCTCTCTGTCATGTGGATGGAGGACCTCAGTGACGAGAGGAGAATGTGTAGCACTGAGCTAATACATACATATATATGGTGGGAGCATCGGGGCTAACGCTAAAGCTAACAGGCTAAGCTGAGGTTCTTCCATGAAGCAGCTCTGTTGTCCTCCATCTATATTTTCAGTTACAGGCTGAGTCATTTCTACCTTCTCCTCTCTGTCAACGCTCTCTGGTTTCATTTAAAAGAGCCGATCATCAGATATTGTCCAAGATTAACCTTCAGGGTGGATATAGCTCGCTAGCAGCCTCGTACCGAGGATCTATCCATGTCATCATTTACCCAGAATGCTTTGCGTGTAAATAAAATGGCCCCGTCCATGTGATATATTTTTAAATTTTTAGTATAAAAATGATAAAAACTAAACAGCCTAAAGAATTTTTACTGCATTTATTTTACAGTTAAAATATATGTTTATTAAAGGAGACCAATTATGGGTCCTAGAAATTTTTATGGTATGTCTGTGGGCTATCCAGACCATGTTCATTCAATTTAATGCACAAAATAATTCTCAGATAATAAAATTTCCCATTTTCTAGTTCTGCCTGCTCTGACTTCCATTCAGAAGAGCTGTTTATGTTAATGAGCTCTGTTGGTAACGCCCTCCAAAAATCTGTTGGCATTAACTCCGCCCTCCAAAGCCAGCGTTTACGTTAGCATGGCTAATAATAGCAGAAGCTCCGTTGTACAACCATATGAGACCCAGAGGCAGAGTCGTGGTCACAGCTTCTTTTTTTTTCTTCTCCCTCCACTGCTCTGCCCTCACTCTGCATGCTGTTACCAGAGCAGGGAGCAGCAGCGGTCAAAATGCCTCAGAAACTCAAACAAATGGGCTTTAACAAGGCTTTAATAAGCGAAACAACAGAGGTACATGAGAAAATGTGTTCATAATGAACGGAAAAAATAAAATAAATAGTGCCCATGCCGGTCTCGAACCCTGGTCTCCCATCCTGTGGTCCAACACTCTACCCATTACCCTATTGGAGGCTTGTTGTGAAATGAGCTGCGCATTGCACAACAACACTGTGACGGCTCTTTATACTGAGGAGGTGGAGTCTCACCTCCTCAGGTTGCTACGTAAGGGGCTGAACGCAGGTTCCAGTGGGTTGTCGTACGGCTTCTGACATCACAAAATAACGGAAGTATAAAACTTGTCGTTAATATACATTAAAAATGCATTTACTTACAATAAATATGCCCCTGGGTGCATTTTTTGGTCCTGGGACTGTTTTTTTAAGAAGTACATACCCAAAGTTGAGTAAAAAAACCTTTAAAAAGTGAATTTTGCATAATAGGTCCCCTTTAAATAAAGTCTAATATTACAACTAATCATGGATCCCTTTAAATATCTGTAACTTACAACCAGCTGAAGGCTGCCACATTTGTGACCTGGAAAGACCAACAGCTGCTTCTCCAGACTGGGACACAAATCACACAGACCTGACAGAAACAGTTTGTTGTAGATTAAATCAGCACAATATGAAGGAAGAAAAATAAATCTACAGAAGAAGAAAGTTGTCACCTTTGGGGTTATCTCTGGTGTCAAATTCAAAAAGTTTGACAGGGTTGTTTGGAAAACTGTACACATAGATCTTGTTCTTCAACACAATAATGATCCTTAAAAAAACAGTTATTATGTATCAGTGATTATGTATCTATTTATTATGACTAAATTAGGACACACAGAAGAGGAAACTCACTTGTCATGTCTCATACGCACAGCTAGAACAGGTTTGGTGAAGGTGAACTCCAGCACCAGCTTTTCTTTAGGGTCACGGGACTCTCGAGCGTCGTCCCAGATCAAAACTAAAATGAGCAGAGGTTTTATTTTGCACATATAAAAATTCAGAAAGAAACACACTGACAGCAAAATGAAAAAAATAATAAAAAAAAAAAATCACAATATTGTCCATATGAAAAAAAAAGGGTCTGGTAAGAAAAATAAACGAGAAAGGTTCTACTAAGAAAAAATGCTTCCAGGTAAGTCTTAAAGAGATTTTCCTCTGTAATCCAAACGTACCAGATATTTCGGAGAATTTGGGATTGACTCCACCTCCGACTATTGCCAGCAGGTTAGAGCGATGCAGCATGGAGCACTGGGCCACACTGCCCACCTGCTCGTGGTCTGCAAAAACACAAACATCATCTGTTCAGATACTAATTTGTTCTCAAAAATTACCATTTTAAATATTATAATAAAATTCCTAAAAAAAAAAAACACATGAACAGAACAAGGGAGAGGTGCTGCAAACAGCCAGCACCCTCGCAGAAAAAAATGCTGTTTGTAAACATCAGATGGCGGGAAACCGTCTCACCCAGGTGACCCTTCTCCATCAGCGGCTCAACATTGTAAATCCTGACCCCGGTCTCCATTGCACAGCAAAAACAGCCTGTGAAAGATGAAAAGCAAAACATTTTTCCCCAAATCTTTTGGTTCTACATCATTAACAGATTCACAGCATAAAAAAAATTAAATAAAATCCAGATTTTTTTTTTTAGCAGGCAAAAGTGTGGAAGTGAGTATGTTTGTGCTTCTGACTGGCCAGTATGAAATGTAATCAACAGCTGGATGAATTTGGTTAAATTATAAGGAACAAGATCTTTACCATATTTAAAAAAAAAAAACAACATTTCAACACAGACCAAATAGAATCCTGTGCTGGTGGAAAAATTCACACTTTACAGCTGATTCTATTGGCAAGAAGTAGATATCCGGAAATGTTGTGGTTTATCTTTGAATAAGTAATTATGGCAGAATGTGTGTACATGTCATTGATCGTTACACAGACCAGTCAGCTTTACATGGCAGGTCTCAATCAAGCTGAGGCAGAAACAAAGAGTACATCCACTTCACAGTCAGTCAGTGCACTGTCACAATGTTGTTACTTATATAATAATACAACCAATATGTCTACAATTACTTTAAATGCGTAGCTTAATAATAAACATTTTAGGTGCATTCATGTAACGAATTTGGTCTCCGTTGAAACGTGTTTTAAGTAGGTAAATGCAGTCAGAATGAAACTTACTCTGGTCCTGGTTGAACTGCAGGCTGTTAACGCCTCTCTGCTGAGCCATGGCTGCTGAAACTCCGGTGCCAGGTTGGTTTCACCGAACTACAGCTTCAGGAGGAACAAGGGAACAACGTGAGACAAAGGAGACAAACGCACCGCGACTGTTCAGCATACACGACGCTTCGTGTTCCAGCTGATTTGGAGCAACAGTGTGTCGCAGTAAGGTTAGCTTCAGATAGCTAACACCGTTTTTGTTAGCTAGACATTAAACAAACCGCTAATTTCATCCGACAAAGTCTTACCATGCACACGGAGTTAGGAAACCAAAATAATATTTTGAAATCTGCTTTTAAAACAGGACGAATTGAAACAAACAACGATGTCGCAACAATGCACCGAAGACTTGTTTTGGTTTTCCAACAGACGTCATTTGGCACGTGCTTCCGGTTTAGTTCCGCTTCCTGTTTAAAATTTCAGATTAAAATAAAATTCGACACAACCAAATTTACTACTACTACTACTACTACTACTACTACTACTACTACTACTACTACTACTACTAC